AGGGCCTAGTAATTTCCCTAAAGTCACAGGTCAATTGAGGGAGCCTGAATTCAAACCCAAATGGTCTGACTACAGTTCTTGCTCCTATGCATAGTCCCTAATGCTTATGTAAGATAGTGTTAAGACCTATAAACAAAAACAAAGTAAGAAACAGTGATAGAAATGCTAAGCAAGGGAAGGGATAATTTAAGAGTAGGAGTATTCTAGAGTAGAACATGGTGGGAATTAATGAACTCAAAGACTTGGAAGGAGTGAATCTTCAACCTATAGCACTATAGGCAAAGGACAAAGCAAATGCAAAAATATAATACTCCACGGATTTGAGGAGCAGAGAAGAAACTAGGAAAACTGGACAGGTGTAAATGAGGGATAAAGTAATAGGATATAAATCAGAAAGGGAACTGGAGCAGCAATTTTTAGAGCCCTCTAGGCCATTGTAAGAAAATCAAATTTATTCTCTGTGGAAAGATACTAGAAGACTTGACAAAACAGTGACACAACATGACACATGTTCCAATCGAAATGCAAATGATTTTACCACTATGGAGACTTCTAGGTTGCATGTATACTGAAAATAGAACAGAAAATCAATCATTTTAAATTATCTCAAATAGTACACAGGGTCATAGTACATGCTACAAAATTCTAACCTCAATTCTCCATCATTTCTGACTTTATAGCAAAACCAAAGGGAGTGAGACAACACCTCAAGGTCAAAAATGTCAACGAGCTATTGAGTTGGATTGGGAGAAATGATATACTACAATTTTAAAAGTATCATTAAAAAGAAAACTTTTGGTGAAACTTAGGCTTTGTTTTATGCATTTTTTAGAATCAGATTAAGGGTTATCTTTATAACACATTTTCCTGTAGCAAGTTAGAAATTACAAGTTATAGGACATTTGCTATTCTCAAAACAGCAAAATCTTTCTGTATCGGTTACCAAAAATAGTGTTTTCCTTCTATATCATATTTGTTTCTATTGATACTAATAGGCTTTCTTTGTATGTCCTATTTACCCTGATGATTGTATATCTGAGCTGCTCTATGAGAGAACTCAACAATCTCAGAGGCTCAAAGAAACAGCAAGCACAAGCATCATATGAGGTTTTTAAACACAGAAGCCATATCATGGTGGAGGCCTAGAAAGCTTTTTAAGAATATGCAGTCTTATGGAATGTTTCTCCCTGACTGTATGTATCCCAACTCCCTCTGATTAAAAAATAATAATAACAATTCATGTTAAGGAGCAAAACAAAAAGATTAGGAGATTAAAAAATAAATTAAAACTTGGGTAAAAATCACTTCTATATGCATCTTCCCCAAACTCCAGGTATTTGGGGTAGCTCTTTGGCATAAGTAAGACAGATGAATAAAGTGATGGTCAAGAAATACCTAAGCAAAAGGACCAAGGTATACTTAATCAAAGACCATTGTACCACAAGAAGATAAAGAAACAAATGCTCATTTTGCTGCCTGTAATTCTAGCTACTTCAAAGATACAGGTAAACGGATCATTGTCAGAGTCAAACCAGTCTGAAGCATAAAATCTTAACTAAAACAAACTATTATAAAAATGACTTGGTGAATAGCTCAAGTGTCCAGCAAGCATAAGTCTCTGAGTTCAAACCTAGCACTGCAGCCAAGGTTTTAGATCCCAGGCCAGTAGTCCCAAATGAGGTCGGACCACTGCCCTGGGATGCCAAATAAGATCTATCACATAGTAGCCATGGGAAAACAGCACTGCAATACATCTTTGATCTTCTTCAGAAGCACAAGCAGTGGCTTCAGGTTAAATAGCAAGAATTGGGATCAGGGTTGAGAAAGGCATATATTGTTAAAACAGTTCCAAATCAATATGGCTGTCTGACCATTAGCTCAGTCTTTGTCTCTGGAGGAGTTCCAAATAATTGTTACCATTTTACTATCAGAATGGGAACACAAACAGGTTGCCTGGTGGGTGATCAATCTCGTGAGTTTGGGTCTATTTCCATTAAGGTGATAAGAAGAAGGTATTGCCTTTCTGAGGTACACTTTCCTTCCACACAAGAATTTGCTCTTTCTTGAATCTCAAGGTAATTGAAAACTACAGCAGAAAATAGCTAAAACCAAAGGGCACAGATATAAAGTTGGGAGAATTTTAGTTAGACCACAAGGATCAGCTAAAGCATCTTTTTAATACATTTTTATTGTAAAAATACTGTATAGAGGGGTTACAGTTAGGTGAGCAAGGTAATGAGTACATTTCCTATCAAGCATTGTTGCCTCCTCCTTTGTTTTTCCCCTACCATCCCCTCCCACTACAGTAATAAAAAAAAAATTGTAGATGGACCCATTGCAACAATGAGATGTACAAGTCATTATGTCAAAAACGAACTTTACAATTTTGGTGGTGGGGGGAGGGGGAGCGGAGAGGATTGAGTGGGGGGACAGGGGGAGGCTGGGAAGGGATGGTAAGGGGAAACAAAGGAGGAGGATACAATGCTTGATAAGAAATGTACTCATTATCTTGCCCATGTAATTGTAACCCCTCTGTACAGTATTTTCACAATTAAAAAAAATATTGTGATAGGAATGATGAAGAGAAGGAAATAGTGGAAGGTGCCTTAAACCTAGGTGAAGATACATAATCTGAGCTTCAAATACCAACATAAAAAATTACAATATCCCAAAGTTAGAAAGGAGATGCTTCAATTGGAATTATCTCATAGTTGATGCTAGGACAGTTCCCTAGAGGTCTCTCATCCCTCCAAGGTTATATAATTCACCACTACTTGTTGAGTCTTACACTGCTGGGTACTGTCCTCAGCACAAAGATGCAATCTATAGAACATCTCTGCTCTGAGATACAATTACACAACATATGCAGAGGTAATGATTTCCTTTGAGACAGAAGAATAATGAAGGGAAAATAGGGAAGTGGAAGTGAATAGGTATAAAGCAGAAACGCTTTGAGAAAACTCAAGGGTGAGGCAAATTGTATTTTGTGCCCCTAGGAAGATTTAAGTCTTACTACTAACTTCATGCTCATTTATAGAAAAAACTAAAGTTGAAAACTGATGTACTACTGTAGTTCTTTAAGATTACTCTGTACCAGACACTATACCAGGCACTGAATGTACAGTAGTGCTTCTCCTTGTGGAGGCAGAAACCTCCTTTCTATTAAATATCGCTGATATTGAACAGCCAAAAGTCATCAGATGCATTTAGCTAAATATTTATTTGCTCTGAAATTTTTTTGAATGCGGGATCAATTATATATCTTTTGTTTGTTTTATATATTTTTATTGCAAACATACTGTACAGAGGGGTTACAGTTACATGAGTAAGGTAATGAGTACATTTCCTATCGAATATTGTTACCCTCTCTTTTGTTTTCCCCCTACCATGCTGTAAAGTTTATTTTCAACATGTGACTTGTACATCTCATTGTTACAATGGGTCAACCTGTATCCTTGTTTCAGCATTTTGCTATATCCTTTGACCTCCCCGAACTAGAAAAATGTATGTACAAGATGCAAGGCACAGATATTAAATATAGTGAAAACAGGTGTTATACCATGGGGGAAGAACATACAAAATAAACCAAAAAATCACACAGTAGCCTAAAAACAACATAGTGACAAAGTTAAAACCCCGTGTACCTACCTTGGCCTCCATCAGAAAGAATGACACCGCCCATTTGTTAGGAAATGGAAAGACTTGGAAAAATTATAGTAAGTGAAGTAAGCCAGACCCAAAGAAAATAGGTCCCATGGTTTCCCTTATTTGCAATGACTAGTATGCATCTAGGATAATCTTACCAGACAAGCAGAAAATGTTAAACACTATGTACATATGACTGTATAAGATGATTCTAAGTGACATGAGTACAATTCTTGTTCAGCATTATTACCTTCATCCAACATTTTCTCTGGCTTTCCCTCCCCAGCAAGATGTAAAGTTCATTTCCAACATAGTGTCATGTGAGTATCACTGTTGCATTGCTTCACCCCTTTTCCTTTGTCTCACATTTTGTTGTTCCTTTTCCCTTCCCCAAGTCAAATAAACACACACACACACACACACACACACACACACACTCACACACACACACACACATGTATATATAACACATGGTACCAAAATCAAATACAGTGAAAATAGTGGACCAACCAAAGCAATTAAAACGAAAGAAAAAATACACTGCCAATTTGTAATATAAGACTTAAGAATTCCAATATCTTTGGACTCAATAGTCTCATTCATAAAATCAGCTTTAATTAGAAAAATGGTTTGTATTATATTAGATATTAATTGATATCTATTATGATAATACTCATGGCAGAAATAGTGTAGGGTGAACTACTTCATATTTATAACTATGAATCTGATACATAGCTCTACTTTCCTTATCTTTCAGTATTTGCAAATTCAGCAATAGTCTCCAAACTTGTGATCTCATAATCTAGCTTTAAAAATTGAACAGACAACTCTAATAGCTTTATGCATTTTTTAAATATATGTATATTACCAATTATATAATATGCATTAGAAACTATATAAAATGCTTAAAGAATTTAAATGTAGCTAATGCAAACTTTAAAATAAATGGAAATGGGAATTCTATTATCGTAGACATCAATGCATCAATAGATAACTTTATTCATGTTTCAGGATAAGTGCCTATGTGGTGAAAAGCATGGCTTTAAACCACATTCTACTATCCTACTATTCATTCTCCATGGCATGGGAAACAATATTTTGAAATTCCAGAATGCGTAAACATGATTCTACTGAAACTATGACAATAATCATAGCAGAACTCACTTGCACAATGTGAAGAATTATGGGTTTTACATAATTTTTCTCATGGCAAAACACATGTGAATATTTCTTATACATATTGTTATTTCTATTGCTGTTATTCCCCAATAACAATTACTACTATCATCACAACTACTTTTTTACTAGCATAGATGTTAGTATTATTCAGCCTTTGGGAAGTTTCAGTAACATACCTCTGGAGAGTTTTGAACACCATCATAACATGGAGCAAGAATGGATGTCTTCTCCCACTTCTGTACAACTTGATTGGCTTCTTCAATCTTTTGCTCACAACTCTTTTGAGAATTTAGTAATGTCACCTCATAAAACTCTTGAATATCTATAAGGAAAATGTAAGGAAATAATTAAAGTGTCATACAATGCCTCACAAAATAGCTTCTGCATATATATTTTTATACATAAATACAATATGCATATGGAAAACTTCACTGAATAAAAGTGATGAAAATAATATGTACTCCAAAGTACACCAACTACAATTCAGGAAATCCAGAAAATTGATTTGCACTTGCATGAGAATGTTTGTAGAAGTTTTATTTGTAATTGCTTAAAATGGAAGTAATTAAAATGTTTTTCAATAGAAAAGCTGTAATAAATCCATGTATGGAATACTATTCAGTGATAAGAAGGAACCATGTAAGCCCATGATTTATTTTAAGTCAAAGGCACTACTCCAAAATAACATATACAGTAGGAATCCATTTACATTACCTTTGGGAAAAGCTAAGAAAGTAAAAAGATCAGTAATTGCCAGAATTTCTGGAAAAGGACAGGGGAATCAGGTAAACCATAAAATGATGATATAAATATCCGCTAATGATACAGCAATGGTAGACATGTAGCCTAAAGCATTTGTCAAAAAGTTGAGAAACTGTCACACTCTGAATAGCCCAAGGAGAAATGGCAAATAAATGTAACCTTCAATCCAAAGTGGGATGTTGGAACAGAAAAATATATAAGATAAAAATTAAGGGAGGAGGGAAAGTGAGTAAAAATGAGAGAGGAGGTAACACTACTTGAAAAGAAATGTACTCATTATCTTAAGTAACTGTAAACCCTCTGGACATCCCCTTTACAATAAAGAGAATAAAATAAAATAAAATATGAACTTTAGTTATAATGACATTATGTTGATATATTAGTTGTGAAATAGTAATGTAAGATTTACATACTAAAGGAGACAGTGCGAGATAATGGAAAATTTGGGTACTATCTTCATAACTTTCTGTAAGTATAAAACTACTCAAAAAATAAAAAAGAGCCAGGTATTAGTGGCTCACACCTATAATCCTAGCTAATTGGGCTGAGATCTAAGAATCATGATTTAAAGCCAACCCAAACAACAAAGTCCATGAGACTTTTATCTCCAATTAAGCCACAAATCCAGAAATTGAAGTGTGGTTCAAGTGGTAGAAAGCCACCTTTGAACAAAAAAGCTAAAGGACAGCACTCAGACACTGGGTTCAAGCCCCAGTACCAGCACAAATAAATGATAGATCAGAACAAGTTAGGGTAACCTGAGTAAACAGAAGCTAGACATGGGGTGGGGTTCAGAGTACAGAAAGCAATGGCAACATTGCTGTCTAGACCTTTAAGGATCAATTCCATAAGGAAGATGACACCTACTAGTTAATTCAGTGGACAGGACATACAAGGAAAGAGATAATGGAGGTAAATCCATACTACATGCTAAATACAAATTATATAGGTAGAGGCAAATGAATAGTAATGATCTAGTTCTAGATTTGAGTTGCTGTTTCATAACTACTTATTTTCCATTATGCTGTTTATATAACTATATAAATTGCCCATTCCCTTTGTTTAATATATTAAAAAGTAATTTTTGTAAAAAGTTAAATGTTTAAGTATTCATGAATATTAAAGATTTACATAGAAAAGTTAAAATCTTCAAATTTCATAACTTAAAATTGAGCCACTTGCAATAAAGTATCATGTTTAGAAAATGTATAAGAACAAAAGGGGAAAGCTCTGCTGTTTTAAATCCTTCTCAGACTTTTTAATACTATAAAGGCTGTCAAGCTATTAATTGAGCCGGGCGCTGGTGGCTCACGCCTATAATCCTAGCTACTCATGAGGCTGAGATCTGAGGATCGCGGTTCAAAGCCATCCAGGGCAGCAAAGGCCGTGAGACTCTTATCTCCAACAAAGCCAGTAGAAAACCGGAAGTAGCGCTGTGGCTCAAGCGGTAGAGTGCTCACCTTGAGCTGTAAGAGCACAGGGACAGCGCCCAAGCCCAGAGTTCAAGCCCCACGACCGATCAAAAAGAAAAAAAAAGATATTAATTCAGTATCATTAATTAATTACAGCTAGAAGAAAAGAAATAAAAGATAATATCCAAAAACAAGGTATGTCCATACCATCTGGTTTCAAGTAGTAATTAAAATGAAAAGAAAAATTACTGTGAAGATTTCTGAAGCTACATAGTCTTTTTAAAAGATAATGACTTGTGAATAAAACAGCTTTGCAGATAATTAAATTTCAAGGCATTTTTCCTATTTTCAAGGTATTGTTTTATACACAGCATTTCCAAGTTTCCAAAATTTGAAATATTAGGTATTTATAAATTATTTGGGAGAAGAAGCATATTTATCATACTCATGCTAAGAACTCTTATCAACAAACTATAGTTTGAAATATGGAGGGTAACAGTGACTTGATCATATTTAGAAAAACCCTAGGAACTATACTTCAAAATTAATATGCAAACCTTAATAAATTTATGCCCACAAATATATGATGCCCAAAGCCAAGTATTTTACTCCTTTGTCTACATATTCTCACTGATTAAACAATTACAACAGAAGAAAATTTTAAGTAGATCCAAAATTACTTAAATTTGAAAATAACTTCATAATCATTGCCAGATGTCACTTTCAGTTAGCAAGTGTTATTTTTAATGCTTGGTCTATACCTGTTTATCATTCTCCAACCATATCTGTTAGGCACCCTCTTGAATCATTACCACCACCATCACTTTGCCATGAATTTCCACTGCCAGAGTTCAAGTCTCCCTATTTTCTGCACACATTCTTCTACTAGGCCCAAATGCCCTTTCCCTCCCCTTCAATATGCAGGCTTTGAAATCAGAGGTCTAAATATTCCTAACTAAACCAAGTCTAATTGAGTGGAGAGCAAGAACAACTAAGCAGCTACAATTTAAAAAGAAGAAAGATACAGATGTTGGAAAGTAACACAAGGTAGAGGATAGGGAATAATCTTGCTACTTTTCTCCAATTCTGACAGCAAATCTATCCACCTGTGTACATGTCAAGTAAATAAGTAAATAAGTAACTAAATGCTTAAATAAATCAGTAACTAAATAAGTAATGCTTAGAAATGAAGACAACATCCTACACAGCCACTATTCTCTGGTATCAAGCATCATCTTTATACTAAGCCCACAATGTATTTGCTAATTCTGGTTTATTTGCATTGCCTGTCTAAGAACAGATGAAATGCCATTGAATAGTCAAATCCCTTCTCTCCCAGGACTGCAGGAAACCTGCATACATTACTTGGATTATGTTTTTATGTGACTTGACTACTTGATTATAAAAGCTAGAACTTTTTATTTTGCACAAAAAGATTTATCACCTCAGAATATTCCAAATAAATTCCTCAGGTTCTTAAAGGTATATCAATTTTGAGCCTATATCATTTTTAAAAGTCTATAAATTATTTCCAAATTTACATGGGAGCCTTTTCAAATTTGATAGATACAAGAATCACCCAGGAGTTGATCATCAAAATCTATATCTGCATTTTTTTTGGTGTTGTTACTAGGACTTGAACTTGGGGGCCTCATATCCTCACAAGCTACTTGGTGTATATTATTGATAAAATTGAGTTCAATTAGATTATTTACACATTTAATTGAAAGGAATTATATTTAATTTTGCTGTCATTAGGACATTAAAACAAAACATCTGCTTCAAAGTAATATCTGAAACAGTCCCTATCCAACCCAAGCTCTCTTTCTTGTTTTAACCCAAATCCCTTAAAAATGAAATCTGGTCTCTGTAATGATGATTCTGACACAGTTAGGTATCCACTTATCAAATACCATGTTCAAGGGAATCCCTAATAAATAGGACTGCCTTTTTAAGCATACTCTTAAAAAAACTAATACATTTACAATATTTCGTCTTCCTCTAAGCAGACACCTCTGATATAATGTATTTATTTAAATGGTGCTCTTACTTCCTCAAAAGACCTCTAGAGCTCCTCTTTGAGATATACCTTCAAGCATCTGAAGAATATATTTTGAATATACTTTGAAGAGACAAATCTTGTTTTATTTGAGGGGAGATTTGATTTTTTTGAAATAACCAGAAGTCATCTGGCAAATTGTGAATAATGTGCATGGATTGATAAAAATGAATTTTACATGACTTGAATTAAAATAAGAAAATATGATTCTTAAATTATGACACTCTTTTTTATCTTTTTTTTTATTGTGAGAATACCATACAGAGGAGTTACAATTACATGGGCAAAATAACGAGTACATTTCTTATCAAGCATCATTGCCTCCTCGTTGTTTCCCCTTCCCATCCCTTCCCATAGTCCTCCCCTCCCTCCACCGGATCCTCCCCCCACCCCTACCAAACTTGTTAAGGTCGTTTTTTGACATAACGACTTGTACATCTCATTCTTGCAATGGGTCCACCTGTATCCCTAGTTAAATGATTTGTTTTTTTCCCTTCCCCTCCACAAATTATACCAACATCAAATACAGTAAAAGTATGAGTTATACTGTGGGGGAGGGACATACAAAGCAACATAGAAATCATCTTATAAATATGATAGAAACAATTGCATGAAAGGAAAAAAACAAAAAAAAAATTGAATACTTATCTTGGGGTTCATTCCCCTAACATCAACTTATCTGACCTTTTCTGCTTGACTCAGACATATACTAATTATTGCAAATAAGGGAAACCATGGGACCTATGTTTCTTTGGGCCTGGCTTACTTCACTTAATATCATGTTTTCCAAGTCTTTCCATTTCCTAACAAATGGGGCAATGTCTTTCTTTCTGAGGGAGGCATAGAATTCCATTGTGCATACATACCACATTTTCTTGATCCATTCATCTACTGAGGGGCAACTGGGTTGGTTCCATATCTTAGCTATGGTAATTAATGCTGCAATAAACATAGTTGTGCTGGTAGCTTTAGTGTGGTCTTCTTTGTGGTCATTTGGGTAAATGCCCAAAAGTGGGATTGCTGGGTCATAGGGGAGTTCTATGTGAAGTCTTTTGAGGAACCTCCATACTGCTTTCCAAAGTGGAGGGT